TGGTCAATCAGAGCACACCTCGCTTTTCAGACTGATGAGCTTTGTAAAAATCGACGCGTTTCAGAAAGGCTGGGCATAGAGGAGAAACAATAATGTACAGTATGTGGAAAATAATGTGTTTTTTTAACCTTAAACCGCATAAACACATTTCATTACACCAAATACACAAAATAATGTTCTTTTTAGCAACATCATGTGATCCCTTTAATATTCAAATCTGCTCATGCATATTAAAATGTTGTTAAACATTTATGATGCTTTAAAATGCTGCCTATGTAGAAAGCACACTGGAACATTTTTGTTCAATTGTTACCACTATAAAATCGTAAATTAATATGGTAACTCCTTAAAATCATGTAATATGTGTATGGAGTTGTAAAACAGAATATGGCTGTTCTATAACCCCAAAAAGTATTTGGAGAATAGTCCAAAAATATAAAAAATCAAGACAAATGGCTTTTAAAAAAATAGCAAACACATTTTGCTAGCAGAACACACACACACACACATGTACAGTATATATATATATATATATATATATTTATATTTATACACACACACTACTGTCTTGAAGTTTGGGATATAAGATGTTTTTTTTTTTTTTTAAAGAAATTACTACTTTTACTCAGCAAGGATGCATTAATTGATCAAAAGTGACATTTGCTAGCAAAGACATTAATGTTACCAAAGATTTCTATTTCAAATAAATTCTATTCTGTTGAACTAGAATATTATATATATATCACGGTTTCCACAAAAATATGAAGCAGCCATCTGTTTTCAACTTTGATAATGCAAATCAGCATATTAGAATGATTTCTGAAGGATCATGTGACACTGAAGACTGAAAATTTTGCTTTGCATCACAGGAATAAATTACATTTTAAAAAAACATTCAAATGGAAAACAGTTATTTTGAATTGTAATAATATTTCACAATATTACTGTTTTAACTGTATTTTTGATCAAATAAATGCAGCCTTGATGAGCAGAAGAGACTCAAAAACATTTAAAAATCTTACAGATGCCAAACGTTGGTCTGAATTCTCGCTGTAAGTGTGGCAAAAATGACTATACTTCTTGGAGTCACTATCACAGACCTGTTGAGGTGTGTCTTTGACGCACATCAGGGCAAGATTAATCGCAATGATCCATCACGACAATGATCCTTCCCCCCCATCACATCAAACTCGGAAATTATTCAGTGCCCCTTCACCGATGGAGGAGCCTGGTGAGAAAAATGGCTTCTTATCTATGCAATTTCATTTGCATCATTGTTGCAAATATAATGACAGGACTCCCGGCGTCAGCGTTCAATATGCATTAAACAATGCGACTGGAAAGGCCTGGCCTGTTCCCGGTTTAATTTGAGAGAATATAACCCGCGCACCTCAAGGAAACTGATTGGGCTGGTGTGGGCGAAGGCGTCAGCTGGAGATAATGGTGGCAGGCCTCAGGCTGGCCTTTATTAAAGCAGCATAATGGAAAATGGCATCATTAGCATTCCTTGACAGTTAACGGTTCAATTTGGTTTGATGAGAATTCAAATATTGGCTTCCAAACGCGAACTGACAATAAAAGTGGTAGATGTTCGACTGATTTGGGATGCAGAGGGCAGTCGATGGTGGACCGCTGCCACTGTAATCAGCGCTTGCTAATTTCAAATATCTGATGGTGTGGAAGAAAGAAAGCAATATATTGTTTTGAATTGCGTTTTATTGTTGGGGTAATGTGGCATATCAATCGTTTTAATGTTCTTCCAGTGAGGAAACTGAAAATGAATGAAACTACTTTCTCGAAATGAAACTTCTTATCAAACATGATGGTACGCAAAGCCCTCGGGGCTGTGAGAGGTTTATCTGGTCGTCCATGTCGACAAATTTTGCTGAACACCAACAATATCATAAAAAAAATGTTGTCTGTGAACCATTTTGAGATCTGCTTAACTGGACCAACAACAAGACCTACATAAATCAAATCCAAAAATATGAGGGCACAGTAAACCATGTAATAGATATATATATATATATATATATATATATATATTCCAAACTTTGAACAGTAATGTATGTGTAAAAAAATCCCACATATAAGGACAACTACAATAATATGTAAAATGTCATTGATAATTGAGAGCTGAAATGCTGTCTTGTGTGTGAAGGCTTTTCATATGTTAATGGCTGGTGGTTACATGCTTGTTTTGTTCTCAGAGCACATGGGGAAGATGACTTAAGGATTTCAAGTTGTTTTATTGCCGGCTACAGTAAACAATCTTACTGTTTAAGCAGGATAAACCAGCACCAACCAGACCAGCACGGAAATTCATGTTGGTCTAAACTGGCAAGCGAAATATATAGTCTTACTCTGTTCATATCTCTCTTCTCAGCAGATCCAGGACGCTGCGGATCAGGGCATCATGTTTGTGGGCTTCATCCAGGAGCCAGCTGGCCTACGCCCACACGTTCTACGGCACAGAGAACCAGAGGAACCGTCCCTCTCCCTGCACTCCAGCCCCAGCTCGCTGCACGGCTCTGGGCTGACTCCCAGTCCCAGTCCCCTGGAGGAGCCGGAGCTGGGAGACGAGTCCGGAGCAGAGAACGAAGGGAAAAACGGGGGAGGTGAGGCTCTGAGAGAGGACGTGAAAGCTACTGAAGGTGGAGATGGAGGAGATGATCTCTCTGTTGAGACATCAGCCGTGTTGAAATCAGGATCTGGTGAAACACAGCAAGGAGATACACTGACACACAACAACAACGACACGGCCGAAATCACAGACACATCTGAGAAAGCCAGCAGGTTGGCCCTGACTAAGAGTGGTGGGTTGATCGTCTTTATCCTTTGATCAGACGAAATCTCACAAAATATTTAGCGAAAATAAAAGTGTATTTTAGTTCCAACATATGACACTGGCCAGGGCTGGGTGATGTTTTTTGGCACATTTTTGATCATATTCAATATAAGTATTTAATACCGTTCAAAAAGTTAGGGGTCTGTAAGATTTTTTAAATGTTTGTTTAAAAAGAAGTTTCGTCTGCTCCCCAAGGATGCATTTATTTGATTAAAAATACAGTAAAAACTGTAATATCATGAACAATATCATATTTTCATTTAAAGTAGCTGTTTTCTATGTGAATTTATTGTAAAATGTAATTTATTCCTGTGATGTAAAGCTGAATTTTCAGCATCATTACTCTAGTCTTCAGTGTCACATGATCCTTCAGAAATCATTCTAATATGCTGATTTTGTGCTCAGGAAATGTATTATTATTATCAATATTTAAAAAAGTTGTGCTGCTTCATATTTTTTATGGAATCTGTGATACATTTAGCTTTTCAGGATTCTTTGATGAATAGAAAGCAAGCTTTTGAAATAGAAAGCTTTGTAACAATGCAAAAGTCTTTAACCAAATGAATGCATCCTTGCTGAATAAATACATTAATTTCTTTAAAAAAATCATACCAAAGTCTCTTATGCTCGCCAATTAAGGCTGCATTTATTTGATCAAAAATACAGTAGCAATTGTGAAATATTATTACAATTTGAAAATAGCTGTTTTCTATGTGAATACATTTTAAAAAGTAATGTAATTCCTGTGATGCAAAGCAGAATTTAGCTTGAAAATCATGGTGCTAAATTATTATTATTACTTAATTATTAATAATGGCTCTTATTATTATCAATGTTGCAAAGCTTTTTTTTTCTGCTTAATATTTTTGTGGAAACTGTGATAAATTTTTTCAGGATTCTTTGATGAACAGACAGTTCAAAAGAATAGCATTTATTTGAAATAGAAATCTTTTGTAAGATTATAAAATGTTTTTACTGTAACTCTTGATCAATTTGATGAGTCCTCGCTGAATATAATTATTAATTTATTTTTCCAAAATCATACTTACTGCAGACTTTTAAATGGTAGTATATCGCGATTTCCACAAAAATATGAAGCCATACAACAGTTTTCATCATTGATAACAATAATGTTGAGCAGAAAATCAGCATATCAGCATGATTTCTGAAGGATCATGTGACACTGAAGACTGGAGTAATGATGCTGAAAATTACATTACATAAATTACATTTAAAAATATATTCAGATAGAAAACAGTTAAAATTGTATTCATGCTGAGGATTTTTTAAATTATTATTATTATTGGATTTCATTATTATTTTGGTTTTATTATTTGTATTATTGTGATTTTGTTTGTTAGTACACTCTAAAAAATGCTGGGTTAAATACAACCCGGTGCTGGGTAAAATAGGGACAAACCCAGCAATTGGGTTGTTTTGACCCAGTGGTTGGGTTACTAGAAGGTTGGGTTAAACATTTAACCCAACCGCT